CACACACCCCTCCCCTGCACCCACTCCCATCCCTCCACACACCCCTCATTTTTTTTTTTTTTGAGCTGCTCCTGTGATTTCTTTCCTCCCTTAGCTCTTCTTGGAACACTGTAGATGCCAATGTCCAGGTTCAAGGAAGTCACCCAGAATAGGGCTCCTTCCTCCTGTACTCTTCTCTCCAGCGCACAGTTATAGTCCCTGGGTCTCCACTCTCCCTCCTGAGTCACCAAGAGACCCCCAAGTAGTCAGTTGAGGAGAGCTAACGACGACCACGACGGCAATGACAGCAACTAGGACTGTGGAGAGGAGAGGGCTGTTTTGGGGGTTGACTTCCATTCCATATACCCGAATGCTCCAGAAAGGAAAAGTGCTAGATGCCTTCTGAGGCTTAGCCTGGGTCTTGGAAATCTCTAAATCTTGTTTAAGTAAACGAAAGAAAAGCAGCCATTTCCAGGAGCCACGTTTCTGATGGTGCTGCCTCTGGCACTGATGACCTGCAAAACCTCCCCATAATGTCACCAGAATCAAGACTGGCATGTGAGCCCGAAGGTGATCTGTGGTGAGCCTCAAATACCCAACCCAGTGCCCAGTGTTTCTGCTAAAGATGCCGTTTGTTTATTATGCACTGCCACCTACCGGCCACTTGTGGGTACCGCAACTGGATGAGAGCCTACAGCTACAGGGTTTCCAAAACTGCAAAGGAGGTAAGGTGAGACTTGGGTTGTCCCAGGTGCTGACACCGCAGTTGCACATGGACAAAAGCCTTTAGGTCTCTCTGGCTCTTTAGTAACCTGAACTCACATTCCCCAGACCAGTCCATCTTGCAGGTCTCGGACCCCAGGTGCAAGATTAGACCAATGTCTTGTAAGGTTTTGTTAGATTCTAAAGCCTTTTTCTTTTTGAAAAAATTAGTACAAACTAATTTTACAAAATTTTGGTTTTATTAAGCCTTCTTCATCAGTGGTTTAGCCACACCCATCTGTTTACCTTCTGCCGGCCTCTCCCTCTCCCAAACAGTCTGGCAGCGTCTGCTTTCAAAAATGAATCTAGAATTGACATGGGAGAGAGGAGCCGCCCCTGCTTATCTTTCTGGGTCTGGCTTATTTACCACAATAAATCTCCAGCTCTCTGTTTTCCAGAAAATAGCACAATTTCTTGGAAGACAATGGCTCCAGGGAACGCCAGTGCTCCTATCCAGAGCGGTACGTTAGCCTTGAGCTCTGTGGATTCTGGAGTCTATTTTGGTTCTCACTCCTCGAAGCCTGGCCACTCAGATTTTATCATTCCCTCCTCTGCGATGCCTACTTAGTGACACAGCATGGTGCTGGTGCTGACACATCCATAGCTGGGTGGCAGGCTGCT